GATCTCATATGGTATTTTTCTTCCTCTTTCTGGCTTACTTCACTTAGAATGACATTCTCCAGGAGCATCCATATTGCTGCAAATGGCGTTATGTTGTCAGCTTTTATGGCTGAGTAGTATTCCATTGTATAAATATACCACCTCTTCTTTATCCAGTCATCTGTTGATGGACATTTAAGCTGTTTCCATGTCTTGGCTATTGTAAATAGTGCTGCTATGAACATTGGGGTGCAGGTGTCATCCTGAAGTAGGGTTCCTTCTGGATAGATGTCCAGGAGCGAGATTCCTGGGTCATACAGTAAGTCTATTCCTAGTCTTTTGAGGAATCTCCATACTGTTTTCCACAGTGGCTGCACCAAACTGCATTCCCACCAGCAGTGTAGGAGGGGTCCCTTTCCTCCACAGCCTCTCCAGCATTTGTCATTTGTGGATTTTTGAATGATGGCCATTCTGACTGGTGTGAGGTGATACCTCATTGCAGTTTTGATTTGTGTTTCTCTGATAATTAGTGATATTGAGCATTTTTTCATGTGCCCATTGATCATTTGTATGTCTTCCTTAGAGAATTACTTGTTTAGGTCTTCTGCCCATTTTTGGATTGGGTTGTTTGTTTCTTATTAAGTCATATGAGCTGCTTATATATTCTGGAGATCAAGCCTTTGTTGGTTTCATTTGCAAAAATTTTTTCCCATTCTGTGGATTGTCTTTTTGTTTTACTTATGATTTCCTTTGCTGTGATTTCTTTCCTCTTTATGTCAAGAAATCTGAATTCTGTGTAATGAAATCCTAAGATTATACCCTCGAAGGGCTGAAAAGGACTTAGCTCATCATCGGATTCAGCTTTACAGACAGGCTCCTATGATCCCCCAAGCTGATGGTGGCTGAAGAGGGAATAACAGAGCCCCAGCCGGATGGCTTTGCTCTATAATATGTGTGACAGACGACGGTGTCTCACTGTTCACCCTTCTCTTTGTTGTTTTCATCCAAGACTAGACTGCCCAGCTCTTATTTCTCCTGATATTCCTAGCAGTTCATTTATAACCCTCCCCAGCCCCCATCTGACTTTGAAGAACCTGAATTCATTTAGGCTTTGATTAGTGATAATTATTTACTTGTCAGACCCCAGCTGGACTGCATCAGCAGAGCTGCCTCACGTAGCTTCACCTCCAGTGACTGCTCCTAAACAATTAAATCAGAGACACACCTGTGTAAATATGCAATATTTGGCGATAAGAAAATGATTAGGCAACAGAAACTGAGCCGAACTGGTGAAAAATAGTGACTAGTTTCCCCTGGGGGTTTTCCCTCATGCCTTTAAGCATCTCCCACCTGAAGTACGAGATCACATTACTTTTCCACTCCCCCTTTATTTTGTTTTTTTGGAAAATATAGCTGATCTGATATAGCCAGATTTGATTTGTTTGTACACATTAATATGTTATAGTAATCCTCTCATGTGTACACTGAAAGACAAGAAGATGAAATAGGGTGACAGACAAACTAGTAATTGTCTTTTCCAAAGCCAAAATGTCTGTCTGAATAGATAAGCTGACAATTGAAGCCCATCTTGGACAATGCTATCTGTTCTTATTTGTATTTAGGGCTTCTACGATGGGAGTCAAAGCCTAAGATGGTGGAAAGAGTGAGGGCTTTTGTACTCAGAACAGGAGATGAATCCCAATAATACTGCCAAGTAGCTGGGTGACCTTTAACACGTTTTGAGCCTCAGGTTCCAAATTTGTAAAAAAGGGCATAATTCCTAACCAGACATGCCACATGTAAAATGCCTGTCTCATTGCCTGCTCAGCAAACACTCCATGAGCCCTGCTCCATAAGAACAGACCTGGAAATCTGTCATTTTTGACCAGCTCACCATTCAGTAAGCCACAGTTAAACTGCTGCTGATTTTTTAAAGTTGCTTTCTGCTGGAGATGACTTTTCAGTAATCAGTGGTACCGCTGGAAAGTGACTCTAAAATTTCTTTCTTGTATTTCAAAAGGTACCCTGCCTTACTATGGAATTTGTTCTTTCTTTAACCAGAATTTGTATAGACTTACTATAAGAGAGATCTTTCCAGCTCTCTTTCAGCTGGACATAGATATTGATACTTACTCTCTGACCATCAGTTGATTAAGTTTTTGCTATTTCAACCCTGCTGGTATTTTTACTTGAAGGACATTCACAGGTGGGGCCTCACAGATGCACTTCTATTGTGTTCCTTGTGCATTTGAGGACGTCATTTTGTGCAAAGCTCAAGCCCTTGTTTCATCTCTTCCTAAGCTCTGAGATCTTAGGCAAATAATTATTCATTGTGTTTCAGTTTCTTTGGTTGCAAAATGGAGATGATGATAACTAATGCTTCAGATTATTCAGAGAATTTAGTGAGTTATGTGTGAGGGACTTAGAATAGTGACTCAAACAGAGAAAGAAAGTTGTTGTTGTGATTGCTGTTATTACTGGGACAAAGAGAGGCAGCCAACAACAGAGTTGATCTCATTGAAAGAGCTAGTGTGTGTAAGGGAGCATTCAAACTCTCCATCAAATGTTCCCAAGTCAAAATGTTAAAATTTTTATCCTCTTTCATAAAAGTTCTTAATTTTATTAGTTTGAGTGTAATGTTTTATTGGTTGTTTCTGAATAAGACAGTGAAAAGTAAGAAAGCCTTCCCTGGAATGTTACTCAGTTATTCATAGAGGTAGGTCCAATTATCTTTGAACCTTGGACCTAAAAGGAAATAATCATTAGTTTTTAAAATCCCAAGGATACTCTTTACTCTCTGATATTAAGCTGATACACTTGTAAGGGTAAGGGAATAAAGAGCAAAGAGTTGTTCAAAGTCAAGCTTTATTTACTATCATTTTTTAAAGTTGTAGGCACTTTATACATAGTATAACATTTAGAAAATTTTAATGTATTTTTATTGAAATATGGTCAGTTTACAATGGTGTGTTAATTTCTGGTACTGTGTAGTGATTCATTTATATATATATAATGTGCACATACTCCTTTACATACTCTTTTTCATTGTAAGCTGTTACAAGATACTGAATATAGTTCCCTGTTCTATGCAGTGGGACTTTGTTGTTTATCTATTTTTTATATAGTAGATAGTATCTGAAAATCCTGAACACCAAATTTATCCCTCCCCATCCCCTTCCGCCACCCCTCCATAACCATAAGTTTGTTTTCTGTGAGTCTGTTTTGTAAATAAATTCATTTTTGTCATTTTCTTAGATTCCACATATAAGTGATATTATATGGTATTTTTCTGTATCTTTCTGGTTTGCTTAACTTAGTATGAAAATCTTCAGGTCCATCCATGTTGGTGTAAAGGGCATTATTTTATTCTTTTTTATGGCTGAGTAGTATTCCATCTTATATATATACCACAACTTCTTTATCCAATTATCTATTGATGTCTATATCCTCAGACATTCCATATTCCTATTTTAAGATGGTTTTTTAGAAAGTGGTAATAAATAGTGTTCTACTACTATCACTTTTAAAATAACCATTTTAAAACAGGAATATGGAGTGTCTGAAGATACAAACATATCTCATTCTGCTGCACTAAGCTTTGAAGTTACTCAAAATCACTTGATTATTTTGTCAGTTTGGTGGCGTCTTCTAGTTTTGGTGAGCCCTCAGCACGTTTGTCAAGGTGTTTTACTATCGTAAAAGGCAGCATCCTAAACACTGTCACATTCCCTGAAACCAAAAGATATACTTAAGTTGTGACAGGAGATTAATAGATTTGTAGAAGGCTGTGAAAGGAGTTTAAAATGCAAAATTTAAAGAAGGATCTCTCTAAGATGAACCAACTTAAGTACATCCTTTCCCTTCCTCATCCATTAAGCAGACCGATTGGTGTTAAATGAAAAGATTAGGTGGGATGACTTGGTTTGGAATAGAAAGGCGCTCTGAGTTACTAAGTTTCCTACACATCTTAAAAATGAATTTACTCTGAAATTCCCATTAGATCCCACCGAGATGACTGAGCAATATGGCCTCCTTATTTTGTTTAACAGTCCTGCTTTCCCAAGGATGTTGACAACTCATTGTGTTGGAGGTTAGCTTTAATGTGCTTCTTCCCTGAGGCCTTAGCACATATCTAGTCTGGTTGATTAACTCTGTGCATCGATATACCATGGTCCAATTGAGTAGGCTGTATGATAAGCATCTCAACAATAACACCATAAAATCTAAGCAGAGAAATACCAGGTAGACTGATAAACAGAAGTGCATGCACTGAATTTTAAAAATATTTTTTTTCCATTCTGCACTTTCAGAGCTTCAGTTTAAATACCCAGAAGTCCTTTTCCATTAAGTTATCAGTGCACAATGCTTTAAATTTGCTATACTTTGAATAAAGATTGGTCCAATTTTTCCAGGAAATGGAAGAAATTGTTATTTGAATGCCACATTTTCTTGTCACTTATTTATAATTAGCCTTTAAAAAAAATCTGGTTTATATATTCTGCTAGTACCTTTTACACCTGAATTCCTGGTCAGTCCCCATTTAAATTTCTATAGCTGCAAACTCTTAGGCAGCTATTGATTCTCTGTCTCCTTGTGAAAGGCTAACTTCATCAACAGTAATGCTATAAATTTTACAACAGTAATGCTAAAATTTATTGGTGCTAGTTGACAATGTACTTTTGCTTTCTGGCTGTTTAATGTTGTTGACATTAATTTTGTTCATCACTCTGCAAAGACTATTGGACTGTATTATTTCTGGATACTATTACTTGGTTGATACACTTTCAGCTTTTGGATCATGAGCAGAAGTTTTAAAATATCTGATGTTTTTGGCAACCAGACCCACAGTTTGTATTATCTTTGGTCCAAAGAGGCTTTTGGATCACGAAAAAGCTTCTTTCTGCTTTCCTTCACCAATGCATGGCATTCACGAGCATGGACTTGGGATAGCATCCTGAGCTTATTGTGTTTAGAAGAAGGGGAAAAAAGCAGAGTTGTTAAGAATTTGCATAAGGAACATTAGCTTAGGCATTATATAATGGTATTAATATGAGCTAGAAGATGGAAATCTTTGGGTCTCAATTGGTATGCCACAAACCTTTCATGGGTATGCCACCTAACTGGTAACAGTCTGAGGGGGTTTCTTTTTGTACAATGGAAAGTATTTGTAGATATGACAACAGCTATCACATATTATGTTGGTCATGTAACATACTGGCAGAATGGCTTAAACTTACCAAGAGTAGAAAAGGAGAGACATAGAATAGCATAAATCTGACACAGAAAGAAATAAGTATCAAGGAGATAATCTGATATAAAAGATGTACAGGCAGAAACCTACAATAACTTTGCCCTATACATTTATGTATATTACCAAGTTTACTCAAGTATAATTTACATACAACAAAATGAAAGTACTCATTTAAAATGTACAGTTCACTGAATTCTGATGTATGCGTAAACACATATAACCATCATCCAAATGAAGAAACAGAGAATTTCCAACACAGTAAAATAGTCTCTTCTGCCTCAGCCCTGACAATCTCCCAATCCAACCACAGCTGCCATTACATTTCTATCAGTATAGACGAAACTGACCCACTTTAGATCTTCATACAAGTGGAATCATGTGGTATGCACTCTTTTGTGTTCAGTTGCTTTCACTCAGCAAAATGTTTTTGAGAATCAGTCATACTGTATGTACCAACAAATGTTCATATACAAATATACAGCCTGTGTAGATATATGTTTTTATTTTTCTTAGGTTCATACTTAGAAGATGAATTGATGGGTTATCTGGTAAGTTTAACTTTATAAGAAACTTACCGAACTGTATTCTAAGATATTTATACAGTTTTACACCCTCACCACCAATGCGTGACATTTCCAGATCTACATCCTTATTTGGATTTGTTTGTTTTTGTTTTTCCATGTGGAAGTTGAATTATTTATTTAAAACAGTAGAAAATATGGATTGCAATACCAAGAATATAAATTAGCCATTAACAGTAGCTTCCCATCCCAGTTTACATTTCCTTGTTTCATTTCTCCATCATATTTTGTTGTCAGATCTTTGTCCTTGCCAAACTGGTAATATCAGGCTTTTTTCATTTTAACCATTTTAGTGGGTAAAGAGTGATACCTTACTGTGGTTTAAAATTGCATTTCTCTGGTGCTGTGATGTGGAATATCTTTTACTG